GCAATGATAATGCCAACATGGGCCAGTGAAGCGGCATCCTTCGCAACTAGACTGAGGAGCAAAAGGACAGCAACTTATCTGTTTCCTTTCCCCGATTCCCCAACACTGTTCCCCTTCCCCAAGTCCCCAATAAAATCTTTAATAAGTAAGTAAATAAATAAATAAATGTGTATTTCACAATAACAAAATAAAATAAATAAATAAAAGAGTGATGAGCATTCTGTTTTGGATAGGCTAGTAAGGTCTGACATTTGAATAGAGACCTCTGCAGGAGACAAGGGACCAAACCATGGGGATATCTGGGAGAAAAGCATTCCAGGCAGAGGGAATAGTAAAGGGAAGGGTCCTGAAGTGATAGCTTACTCACAGAACATGGTGCCTGGAGCAGAGTGAGTGAAGAGAGAAGGTTTTCTGCTAAGAGCAAATAATGGGTGATCTAATCATCCCCTTTATGGAATATTCTATAACAACCAGGAAGTGTAATTATGGGAATTGAAAAGTAGCAAGGGGAAAATCCTGGAGAAGACGTATTAGTAATTTATTGCTACATAACATATTATCCCCAAATTTACAATAACAGACATTATCTTATAATTGCTGTGCATCAGGACTCAGGAGTGGCTTAGCTGGGTCATTCTGGTTCAAGGCTTTCATGATGTTGCAGTCAAGCTGTTGTCTGGGGCTATGGTCTTACCTGAAGGCTTGACAAAGAGGGTCTACTTCAGAGCTCGCTCAGATGGTTGTTGGCAGGCCCCAGTACCTTACTGGCTCTTGACTAGAGTCCTGGGGTACTTTCTATATAAATCTTTCTACAGACTGCTTGAGTGTCCTCACAGCATGGCAGCTGGATTCCTCCAGAGAGAGAGACACCCAAGAAGGAAGCTGCAGTCTTTTTTTATAACCTACTATTAAACTTGCCACACCATCATTTCTGCCATTTTTATTGGTAACACAAACCAACCCTGGTACAGTGTGGGAGCAAACTTCACAGTGATGTGAATACCAGGAGGTGGAGATCACTGGAGTCCACCTTGGAGCCTGTCTACCACACTAGAGCATTGAGTAAAAATGCAGTAGGTGACAGTGTCTGCTCACCTGTTTATAGGATGTAAACATACTGCTATGGAAAATCAAGGCAGGGGGCCGGACGAGTGGCGTGGTGGTTAAGAGTTGGCTTGGGACACCAGAGGGCCCTGGTTCGGATCCCACATATGAGGGCCAGTGACACTGCCCTCTACAGCTATGATGCTGCACAACAGTTCGACCTGGAGCTGGGCTGCGGTGAGTCGCCGGTGACCGCGTAGGCTGCAGCCCCTGCTGCAGTGGGTTGCCATGGGCTNCCCCCCGAACCTCAGCCTCCCCTCCCCGCCCCTCGCCCTCTCTGGCTTTCCTAGTCCGTCCCCGCCCCCGGCCTCACGCTCGAGCGTCCGTCACGCACCCCACCGACTCCGTGAGCTTCTGTCCAGGTCCCGCGCTCTTAAACTTGATATCAGCCTTAATTTCCTGGAAGAATTTCTTCATGGTGGCTGCGGGCCCGGCGGCGAGGGGCCGCGGAGGGAGGGGGACCAGGGGCCCAAGGACCAGTCAGGGAGGGGCCAGCAGGAGCCAACAACCGGAAAAAAAATACGGCGCTACCAGAAGTCCCGCCTTCGCGCATCCGCCCACGTGACAATCGGCCCGGCGCGTCTTTCTAGCTCTCCGCGCCTCGCTGACCCTCGGCGACCGCTCTGTACTCTAGGGCCGCGTCTCGGTGGTTATTCCGGACTCCGTTGCCAGGGGCGACTTGCGCGCTTCTAACTGGTGGCTGTGCTTGGGCGCCTTCCACCGCTTTCCGCGAGGGGTGAAAGACAGGCTAACTGACCTTAACGGGGAGAGCCCTGGCCCTGCTCGCAAACCTTCCCTGGCTCCTTAGCCCTTACGTGATAAAGTCCCAGTTAAATTGTGGGAGCATTCAGGGCCGCACAACCCAGCCCCGTGGTCAGCCCCAGTATCCCGCCACCCCTCCTTAACCTTCTTGGGCTTCGGTTTCCTATCTATGAAGTGGGGATAAGAATAGCACTCGCTTCCTAGTAGGATTGTAAGCACGATGATACAATTGGAAGGCTGAATAAATAGCCGACGTTATAATATTTTACTCCTTTAATATTTCTGGAGAGTCGGATCTGTACCAGCAGTGAGGAAACCAAGACAAAAATTCCCTGCCCTCGCAGAGGTCATGATCTTTTTGATGAGGTTGGGGAGGGACAGGCTATGAGAAAATCTATGGTGGGGTCGATGGTGTTAAGCTCTACGGGGAAAATAAAGTGGAAAACAGGAATAGGGAAGGTGAGAGTGGGACAGTTTGCAACATCAAAGAAGAGAGGATCAGGCACAGAAAAAGGACGATTTTTAGACCACCAGGGACATTTGAATGTGTCTAGGCATTAGGTGATATAGAGGAGCTATTGTTAATTTTGTTAGGGGTGATAAATGGCATGGTAGTTAGGTTTAAATAGGCTAAGTTAGGTCTTTTTTCAGAGATGCATTCTGGGGTATTTATGGGTGAAATTACATCGGAGATGTGCTTTAAAATACTCCAGCAAAAAAAAAATTAATACACATGAACAGACACACACTTTAGGAAGAATTCTCATGGCTGCATTTCCTCCATGCAGTAGAATGTGAGAGCAGTCATTCCTCAATCATTCACTGAGCATGTACCGTGTGTCAGGTCAATAGGGTCATAGCAGGGAACAAAACAGACAGGCTCCTGCTCCTGAGGGGCTCACAGTGAAACATGGATACAGCTGTAAAACAAGCATATAGTGCCAGGTAATGATCACTTCTATGAAGAAAAATACAGTAGGAGAAAGGAATCAAGAGTGATGCACGTCCGGTCAGAATGGCTATCATCAATAAATCAACAAACAAGTGCTGGCGAGGCTGTGGAGAAAAGGGAACCCTGGTGCACTGTTGGTGGGACTGTAGACTGGTGCAGCCATTATGGAAATCAGTATGGCGGTATCTCAAAAAACTGGAAATGGAACTACCATATGACCCAACAATTCCACTCTTGGGTATCTTCCAGAGAAACCCAAGACGCTAATTCGAAAAAATATATGCACCCCTATGTTTATTGCAGCACTATTTACAGTAGCCAAGACTTGGAAACACCCGAAATGCCCATCAGTAGACAACTGGCTTAAGAAACTGTGGTACAGGGGCCGGCCGAGTGGCGTGATGGTTAAGAACTGGCTTGGGACGCCAGAGGACCCCGGTTCGGATCCCACATATGAGGGCCAGTGACACTGCCCT